TCATAGGGTTATGGTTGTTGTAAGTAAAGGTTTGGGGTACGTTGTGCCTACTAATTGTTGGTCAGCTGTTAGCTCTTTAGCAATGGTTGTTTGGGATGACCCTAATCCTATGGTGAAATAGCAGTCTAGGTAAGCATTTGATGAGTCAGAATATGATGTAGAAATCATAATTGAAGACCATGCTCTATCTATTCTGGTCAATGAAAAGGGTTTCCAAACTACAAAAGATGCTTCAGCGGCTCAAGAATCGAATGCAGCAGGCTGTATACAAATCATTTTGGTGGCCCTTTTTCCCATAGAGGTGTGTCTTTTGTCCTATGATTAGGTAACACACTACGTGCATTGACATGCTATTGGTATTTGAATTTGTTGGTTGGATGAATTTGAATTGAATTCCAGTGTTGTGAAGATTACCACAAGTTACTATTGCTATTTGTCAATGTTTTTCATATGTTTTTTTGGCTATCCTTGGAGTATGATTGTGAAGGTTACATTAGGTTAGTACAGTTGCTAATTCCCAAGGACTTTGCATATATATATATATATATATATATATATATATATATATATATATATATATATATATATGAAAAAATGTTGTCACTCTCGAAATCCACGGAGACTCCTCCGGCGTCTCCGGCCAAAGCTTCCGGCACTCGTTCCAAGCTGTTCTCCGATCTCTTCAAGACGGATGGGGCCGTCATCATTGATAGACCGCCGGAGAAAACCAGTTTCAAAGGTTGTCCATCCATCTCCTTCTCTAGGGAAGACATAGAGGTTTTCTCCCGTCGGTTCAGATTTGCCCTCATCGGTAGATTCAGACGTCGCCCTCCACTCTCGGTCGTGAGGAATTTTCTTACCCGACTGGGGCTTGTTGGTGGTTTTACGGTTGGAGAACTCAACTCTAACGCTGTTCTTATCAACTTTGAGCATGATGAAGATTATCAACGCTTTTTCCTCCGGAAAACCTGGACGCTTGGAAGGGATATCATGACAGTGACTAAATGGTCGCCAAATTTACGTCTAGAGGAGGACTCCCCTATTGTTCCGGTCTGGATCACTATACCCAATCTTCCTATTCATTTACATGATCAGAAGGCTCTCTTTTGTATTACCTCCACGCTAGGTAAACCCTTGAAAGTTGATAACGCCACCCTCACCTTCGCTAGACCCAAAGCTGCTAGGGTTTGCATTGAAGTGGATGTCTCAAAGACACTACATCAGCGTATTCATGTTAAGCACGTTGATGAAGATCTCTTATTTCAAGTTCTCTATGAGGATCCCCCATCTTTTTGCTCTTCCTGCCATCGTTTGGGTCACACCCCTAATTCATGCAAACCGGAAAAGCTTCTGGAAAGGGAGGTGGTGGATGCTGTTCCTCCCATGAAGGATAAGGGCAAAGGGGTTTCGAATGATTGGACCACTGTGCATCGTAAGGGCAAGCCTCCAAAATCAAAAGTTACGTGGGTTCAAAAGCCCTCCATGCCACAAGTCAAACCATGCATGCCATGCCATGAGGAATCTTCTAAGGCTGGTGCTAGGCGTAGGCCGGAGGTTCATTTCATCGGGTCAAAAGAGGTGATTTTTCTAGACAATAATGGCCTTGCCTATTCCTCTTTTGATCCTACTAATCCTGTACTTGAGCCCACCTCCAGTCAGAACGTCTCTCTTGATTTGGTAAATGATGTTTTTGACTCATGCACCTCCTTAGATCCCACATCTGATCATAGTGTCACGGAGCTTCCTCTTTGTGATCTCCAAGTGGATATCCCTGTCAAGAAGACATCTTCTTCTGCTCCTCCCTCACCGAAGAAAATGCGTACGCGTTCAGACTATAAAAAGTCTGTTGATGGGGTTTTCCAAGCCCTGAAATGATCTGCACTCTTTTTTGGAATGTGAGGGGAGTCTCGAAGAGGTGCAAGAGACTCTCTCATTTAAAGAAGCACCATTCTATTGATTTCTTTATCCTTATTGAACCTTTTGTTTCTGCTGCAAAGGGCACTAACCTCGCCTTTAAGCTTGGGTTGAATGGTTTTCTTTCTGTTGCTAATAATAAAATTTGGTTCCTTTGGGACCAATCCAAATTTGAGGTTCTTGATGTGTTAGACCATGGTCAGATTACACACTTCAAATTGAGGGATGTTCTGAATAATTTCAGCTTCACTATTAGTGGTATTTATGGTAGTCACTCTACTGCTGAAAGGAAAGCTCTTTGGAATCATATTGAAGCCTTTAACAATAGCTCTCTGCTTCCCTGGTGTCTTGGGGGAGATTTTAATACAATATCAGATCTCCTTCACCATAAAGGAGCTAGGCTTCCAGATCTTGAAGCTATTGATGATTTTAGTAGCTACATTTCAAACTGTAACCTCCTTGATTGTAATTTCAGTGGACCTTCCTTTACATGGCATGGCGTTCGTAGTAATGGTAATGTTTGGAGACGCCTTGATAGGGTTTTCTTTAATGCTGGTTGGGCAGATCACTGGGACAACATGTACATGCATCACCTTGCCAAAGGAGGAAGTGATCACTGTCCCATTCTCTTCAGCTCCAAGCTTGTGGTCAAGGACATTCCTAAATCCTTTAGATTTCAGAATATGTGGCTTTTAAGGGAGGACTTTATACAATTTTGCAAGGACAGTTGGGAGGAAATTCCTGTCTTTGGTGGAATGAGATGTTTGTTCAATAAACTCCAACACCTCAAAGCCAAACTCTCATCTTGGAATAAGGATCAGTTTGGCAATGTTTTTGATAAGGTCAAAGAAGCAGAAGAGGAAGCATCCAAAGCAGAAATCCTCTTTGAAGAGAATCCCTCTTCTGAAAATAAAATCCTCCTTAACCAAAGGAAAGCACACCTTGCAGAGATGACCAACATGGAATTTATTTTTTGGAAACAGAAATGCAATCTTAAATGGCTTCAAGAGGGAGATGCTAATACTAGATTTTTCCATAACTTGGTTAAAAATAGAAGGAGGCATCAACAGATTAATTGGCTGCTTAATGATGAGGGTAAAATCATTGACAAGCCTGATGAGATGGAAAAGCTTGTTGTTCATCATTATACCACCTTACTGAATCAGGCAGAACCATCTGCTTCTCCTGATCTCTATGAACAATTCCTTGATGCCATCCCTTCCTTGGTTGATCAAACGCATAATGATTACCTTATGTGTCTACCTACTGAAGAGGAGATCAAACTTATCATTTGGGAAATGGATCCTAATTCAGCAGCTGGCCAGATGGTTTCAACATTACCTTCTTCAAATGTTGTTGGGATTTTATTAAAAATGATGTGGTTTCTGCCTGCCAGGAGGTGTTCCTTGGTCTCCCACTACCTCATGCTGCTGCCTCCTCCAATATCTGTCTTATTCCTAAGGTGGAGAATGCTAAGAAACTTCATGATTTTAGGCCAATCTGTTTGTCAACTGTGGCCTCTCAGATTGCTACAAAATGTATTGCAAAGAGGCTAAGTAAGATTCTTCCTCTCATTATTTCAGAAGAACAGGCTGCTTATGTGCCTAGAAGGGAGATTCTGGATCAGATCCTTATCACTAAGGAGATGGTTCATCATATTAATAGAAAGGCTAATGGTGGCAACCTCATTATTAAACTGGATATGGCCAAGGCTTTTGACAAGCTAAAATGGTCATATTTATTTGATATTCTCAAGTCTTTTGGATTCTCCTCCACCTTTATTCACATGGTTAACAATCTTCTCTCCTCTTCCAAATACTCTGTCCTTTTCAATGGTAAACCATGTGGTTATTTTGGTCAATCTAGGGGAGTTAAACAAGGAGATCCCCTATCTCCCCTGTTGTTTATTATTGCCAATGAAGGTTTTTCCAGAAATCTCAACAGAATGTTTCAAGATGGCCTCATTGACATGTTTAATTGTGGCAAAAACTCTATCTCCATTTCCCATTTGTCCTACGCAGATGACATTATTATTTTTACTTCTGGACACTCCAGATCTGTCCACAATCTTAAAAGATTTCTTCATAACTATCAGCTTGTGTCTGGGCAGACCATTAACTATGGTAAAAGCAGTTTCATGTCTGGCTCCAAATTTAATTCCCTTACAATCACCAAACTTGAGAAACTATTGATGATGCCTCATAAAGGTTTTCCTTTCACTTATCTTGGAGTGCCTATTGATTTGGGGATTACCAAGAAGAGTCACTGCTCTTTCCTTATCCAATCCTTTGACAACAAGCTTAATGGATGGTTTCAAAAGAATTTGGATCAAGCTGGACGTTTGGTGTTGATCAAGCATGTTTTAAACACCATTCCAAATTACTTCTTAGCTGCCAACACCATCCCTAAAGCCATCTCTCATCTGCTTGAGCAAAAAATGGCTAGATTCTGGTGGGGTGGTGGCACTAGCAAACATCACTGGATTTGTTGGGAGAAGTTGTGCTATCCTAAGGAAGAGGGAGGCCTTGGAATTAGAGACCTCAATAGCCTAGAGAATGCTTTCAGTCTTAAACTTTGGTGGAAATTTTATCAAGACAATGGGCTATGGGCTAAGCTTATGAGGGCTAAATACTGGAGAAATGGAGACATCTTTGAGACTCTCACAGATTCTCCTATTTGGAAGAGGATTTCTAGGGCTGATGAAACTGCGTCCAATGCTTGTTCCTTCAATGAAGATGGGTCTGGTCTCCAGAGGCCAATGGATTATTTTCCCTCAAATCTGCTTTTGATCTCTGCAGACCTGTATCTCCTAGTGCTACCTCCTTCAAACACCTTTGTATGAAACCACAAAATGCTAAGGTAGGGGTTTTCACTTGGAAACTATTCAAACGCTGCCTTCCTTTACCAGAAAATCTCCAAAGATTAGGCTTCCAGCTGCCCTCTATCTGCCCTTTCTGTAAGGCAGATTCACTCATCTCCAAACATGTTTTCATTGACTGCCCACAAATTGTGGAGATATGGAGATATTTTTCAGCATGCCTTGGTTTTCTGCACAGCTCTTCGTCCTCCATTAACCAACATTTCATGAGTTGGTGGCTGAGAGGTAACAACAACAACATTCATGGTTTTTTGCGTTTGCATCTCCCTGGGATCATTTGTTGGCACATTTGGAAAGAACTGAATGATCTCCTTTATGAAAACAAATCTGCACTCAACCTTCGATCACTCGTTGAGTCTATCTCCATGTTTGTGAGACAATGGCTCCTCGCAAAAACCCCTAAAAGGCTCTGGACTACTGATCCGTGGCTTGCTGCAAAACGGTTGCTGCCTTCTTTCCCTAAGGCTCCTAAAGTACGCGTTGTCAAATGGTTAGCTCCTCCAAAGGGACGTCTTAAAATCAATATTGATGCATCTTTCACTCCCATGTCCAAGAGAGGTGCAGCTATTTTGCGTGATGACGAGGGTAGATTTGTGCGTGCAGCTTCGTTCCTCATTTCAGGTTCCACCCCTTACCAAGCTGAACTGGATGCAGCAATCAAAGGAATTCAATGGGCACTTTCGTTTCATCCCTTGCTTGTTTATGAAACGGATGCCCTGGGAATTTTAAGGAGACTTGGCCATTACACTCATTACGCTTTCTCTCCTTTCCCGATTGACTTTCTGGCCAAACTAATTTTTGAGAATGATATATTGAAATCACATACTCTTCGGGAGGGTAATCATCCTGTAGATCTTTTGCCTAAGGAGGATAGATTAAAAGATTGTTCTCTCATTGAATATTGTAATTTTAATGACTGTCCTTCTTCTGTAATGGCCGCTCTTTTGAATGAGCGCCTTCCTTCTTTTCGTTTTCATTAATAAAACTTCCTTTTTTTTAAAATATATATATATATATATATATATATATATATATTTATTTATTTATTTATATATATACACACACACACACACTTTTTTTGCCTTTCTTTAGAGTATTTAAGAGAAGCTAATACCAGCTGTACTTTGTTTTAAATTTGAAGAGTAGGACATAATAAACTAGCTGATTAGTGCAATATCAGATTCGTATTGGATTTTTCTGTGAGTATTTACTAAACCAGATCACCATTTTGCAGGTGTGTTGTTCTTGTTCTGTTCTTGATTCACAACGATCATTTCAGGATTTATTGGCTTTGTGCTGGCAGGTGGGAGATTCAAGTTCAATGCACGAAGATTCTCAAGGATTGGGTTCCTCACTTGTTCCTCTGTAGGAGCAACAACCTGTACCATAGGAATAGGATGGATTAAAGAGGCAGGCATGTAGATTATGCAAATTGTAAGGAAGATGATGTAAATATTAAATCCTTAGATGTTAATAATATTTTAAATGTATGAACTTTTGTTCAATATATTGTATTTTTTGAATTTATATTTATTTGGTAATCAACACAAGATAACAGATGTCTAATAAAAAATTCAACTACCATTCAAACTAATAGTTTGAAAAGTATATGTACAACTACACAAATGCGTAGTGTTAATAACATTTAGACAATCAAAACAAACAGTTGTTTGAAATACCACAAAAATAGTAGTTAATATTTTTAAAATACAACGTGAAATAATAGTTGTTTGAAGCAAATTTTTTTAGTAATCTTTAGAGTAGATGTCTGATAAACAATTCAACTACTGTCATAAAAAATAGTTTGAATACTTCAAGAAAAACTACAAAACACCGTTGTGTTAATAATCAATATACAACTAAAACAAATAGTAGTTTGAATAAGAATAATGTTAGTAGTCCATATTCTAGAAATACAACAAAAGATAACATTTATCTTATGTTATTTTTGTTTGTTTAGTAGTCTTCCGAGCAGCAGTCTGATATATCTTTCAATTACTTTTTAAAGTAGATGTCTATATTGTTGAACGACAACACCAAGAATTAGGAGTCTGAAGTTAAAAACAACAGTAGTATTCATTATAGATAGACAACAAAAAATCACAGTTCTCTTTAACTCTAAAAAACAGATGTCTTACTCATACATGGACAACACTAAAAAGTCGTACTCTAAAACATTACAAAACAGGTGTCGTCAACCATTTTACACAATTGTTTTTAAACAATAGTCTGTAAATATATCAGACAGCTGCTCGGAAGACTACTGAAATCAGCACCATGAGACTACTAAAAGAAACAGTTGTCAGCATCTGTTTTTGACGTAGTGTATGAAGGAAACATTGGAAAGCATAACATGTGTTTAACCAATTCCTAAGAATCAAGTGTAGTAAATGTTTTATGAAGAAAACATAGGCAAACATAGCATCTGTTTAACCAGTTCCACAAAATCAAGTGTGGTGAATGTTTTGTGAAGAAGAAATAGAGTGAAACATAGCATCTGGTTAACCAATTCCACAGAATCAAGTTTCGTAAATGTTTTATGAAGAAGAAATAGAGTGAAGTTCACATCTCAATCAATTCGGCAGAAGATAAACAATAAACAAAACAGCCCATACTCTCTAGGCCAAAGTTTTCTCACACAAAACAGAAAGGGTAGACCACAAATATTGAGTTTTGTAAGTCTCCAACCAATAAGGGGTGACATTAGAATATAGCTACAGTGCCAAATATAGCTCAACACTTCCAATCTCTAAGAATAATGGTTGTTTGCATCATAAGTTCCCCAATAAATCATAAAATTGGACATGCAAAGAGTAATCAAAGTGTGAACATTAAGAGAAGGGAGATAGTACTTTGCGAAGTAATAGATTACTCTTCTTCCCCATCTTCTTCGTCACACCCCCTTCATCCTCTGAGGGAAAATGGCATCCCCAAGATACTTTTTCCGATACCACCATGTTGGATCTGTATCAGTAGTACCAGATTCGCTGTCACTAGAGTCATATTTAGGGACCACAGATTTGAGAGAATTTGGGGTAGGCAAAGGAGAAGGACTTTCTTCGTCACAATCGCTTAATAGCTTGAAGCAAGGCATCGTAGAGTCACGAATCGAAATTAGTAGTGATTCAATTTTTGAAGAAGAAGGGAAGATTGATCGGAACAGATGAGAGGAGGGTACAGTGCGGTGATGGGGAAGCGGAATGGGCAGAAGAGAGACAGTAGGGAAGGATAAATTATGGGTATGTGTCAAATAGGGTTGCTTTGGGTGTCAGTTGGGTAGTGTTTAGGTTAAAGGGTAGAAATGTCCTTTTTAGGGAAAAGAGAACATGTTTGTGGGACAAGAAAAAAACGAAATGAGAATATGTTTCAGGGACGGAGGGAGTATTACGGATTACAACGGATGAGGAAGATGAACGGCTCCGGAATAAAATAAAATAAAATAAATAAATCCAAATTTATAGTTTATTTGAATTTAATTACAATAAATAAATAACTAACTAAATAAAAATAACTACCCATCTTCAAAGGCCTTGCTTTAAAACCTTTAAGAACTAGACTAACGCTGCGAACTGGCCATTGGACGTAGACCGAGTGAACAAAATCTACAAAGCAGAACATCGTAGAAGGACAGCGGAGTCGGCAGAGCTGTCCTTAAGGCAATAGTGCCCGCCTACCGTACTGGAGAACGTTGGAACTTGACTCCCAAGATAAAACCGCTATCGTGTGCGGTGGTTGTACGTACCACCTCACACCCACGAATGAGAACGTCGTTGAAGTGTTATCGACTGGAAAAATGATGAGGATTTCCGGGAAAATTGGCCAAAAACTAGAGGTCTCTAAAACACACTACTACAAAAACGACCAAATAAACCCCCCATTTGCATCGGTAAGCAAAACAAACGACGTAAATGGCAAAAAATTCGCGTACCGCTTAGCTTTTGGATCGGTTATTCCTAATAACCGATTCAAAAAGTTATTTGAATCGGTTATTAGGAATAACCGATCCAAAATCTAATAAGCATTTGGATCGGTTATTCCTAATAACTGATTCAAATAACCTTTTGAATTGGTTATTAGGAATAACCGATCCAAAAGAGTCTGATAAAACACATCCAATCCTACCTTATCCTTACGTGATTTTGAAAAAAAACCTCCAAACCCTTTCTTCGTGTTCGTCGTGCTTGCTCCTCGACGTTGCCCAACTCCTTAGCTTGTCGTTGCCGTTGCTGTTGCTCTTCGTGCGCCTCGCCGCTACTGTTGCCGTTGCCTCGCCGTGGTCAACTCCCCATCCACGCCATCACCGTGCCTGTGCCGCCTCGAGCCCTGCTCCACTTTTCCCTCGTCCACCTCATCCTCGCCGTTTGCCGTTGTTGCCTAGCCTCGCCGTCTCCGTTGCCTCGCCGTGCTTGCTGCCCCGCCTCGCCATCGTCGCTTCTTTAAGGTATTTTTTAAATTTTTTAACTTTAAATATTTAATTATACTATTATTTGTTTATATATTTTTGCATTAGGTTAATATTTAATTTACTATATATGTTTTGTGTATATTTTTAAGTTGAAATGTTACATTGTGATATAGATTGCGTTTCAAAAATAGATAGTTTAATTGCTTTGTGTTTGATTCTACATGATCTGAGATGTTATAATATAGAAATAGCATATATTGACCGACCTAGATCCCTGTTTAAAATTTACTCATTAGGAGTAAATTTTAAATAGCTCCCAGTTTGGAGCTGTTCTTGAAATGCTTCTCTCACTTAGGTAGTGAATGTATTTCTTTCTCTTTGTTCCGTCATTTTTTGCTTTGACGTTTCCTAAATGTGTTCTTTGAGTGCATATGTAATTACGTTACATCGTACACTTGGAGAACCATTGACAAATGCTACCGAAATTTTGATAGGTCAAAGAAAGTGAAATACATTTACTAGTGAGGGTGGCATTTCAAAAATGGGTTAGGATGGTGTAAAGAAGGACCATTTGTATAATGAAGAAGTGCTGCCGGATTTTTGTTACATCATAAGAAATAAAATATTGTGTTGCCTGTATTTCTTATATGTTTGTGTGTATATATAAAATGAGTGTTAATAATTTTGTTGTGCATTGTTTTGCATGTATCAATCATTTACCTTCATTATGGGCAGCGTAGCAGCAAGGCATCTACAGATTTTGTTGACTTCGCCGATCTCACTGATGTACATATATTTTTTAATTTAGGTTTCAATTTCGGTTTACGTTTACTTGTTTCCGACATTAGTTTACTAATTGTTTTTTTAGGTTGCTGCTTGTTACTTGAGGATCTCTGATCCAGCCGATTATATAGTGGCACATGGATCGGTTTTCCCACGTGCACCGGGAGATGTGGTGCACGGTGTTCCCCTCCTTCCTCACCAGGCACTACTACAAAAAAAGGCAAAAAGACTGCCATCAATTGCATCGCATACAAAAATAACCGATGCAAAAGAGCAAAGGCATCGATTGTTTTTTAAAAGCGATGCAATTGTTTTTTTTAAAATTAAATTTGTAAAAAAGAAATAAGTATTAGCATCGGGTATCTAACTGAACCGATGCAAATGCTCAATGGCATCGGTTGTACAAAACAACCGATGCTAATACCTATTATTTTTTTTAATTTTTTCAAATATTAATGCAAATGCATCGGTTGTTTGCAGGAGCCGATGCTAAAACTAAAGCTTAAAGTTTCGAAATTTTTAAAAATACAAAGGCATCGGTGTTCTTTAACAACCGATGCCAATACTCTTTTGTATTTTGTTAATATAAATTACTAGTATATTGGATCGTAAACATACTTTTAAATGAGTTTATTTTATAATGTTTAAAACTTTATATGTGTGAAGGAGATAGGAGGCGGCACATTCTATCAGAGACGGTTAGGTTTAGTGAGAGCTAGAACTCTGCTCTCGTCTACGGAGGAGACCGGACTGAAGGCTGAGCTCGACGGAGGAGACGGGACGGAAGACTGAGCTCTCGTCGACGGAGGAGAGAAACTGTGCCGACCATCTGCACTGCATCTAACGCGAAGATTCTAATCTGACCTTCGCCGGACGGATATTGACGGTGGCCATCGAACTGAAAAGGTCCGAATCTTTGAACTATTTGTTGCCTTTGGGAAATTTCTTTTATAATATCGGTTGCTGCTTGTGTTGGTTTCGTCATCTTATATTTTTATTGTTGATGTGTTTTTGCTCAATTGACAGGGAATCCGTGATTATGATTGTTGGAATGTTTGATTATGTGGGTTAATTTAAGATTAAGTATGGATTCTCGAATTGAGTTTGATTTGGAGTTTGAATTGGAGTTATGTTGCTTGATGTTCTTGGGGTTATGTTGCATCTGTTTAACTTGGTGCATCTGTTTGTTGGATTCTTTCACTGCTTGCTTGCTCAGCTCTGTCGCTTCTGTTCATGTGCCATTATATATGCTAGGTATATGTTTTTCTTGAATAACATAATGCATACTATAAGTTAAACAAAAAGGGAGAAAAATAGGAACGTAGGAAAATATTCATACTTACATTGGTAGGAGCTAAAGAGAGTTGAAATTGCAAGGGACAAAATAAGTGAACATTTGAAGCTAATAGCCACCATTGTTATGATTAGCTCTTTGTGTTTTTCTTTCTTTCTTTCTTTGAGGGAACTTGTTTATATATATATATATATGTGTGTGTGTGTGTGTGTGTCAATTGTCTAGGATGATCTTTTCATTGAATTTTTACTCAACTACCTATATGTTATTATGATAGAGTCATATATGATGGATCGAAGTTGGATTGATATGCCACGAACTTCGCCAGAGTTTTGTAAGGGTTTCGATGAGTTCCTTAGCTTCGTTCAAAAATATTCAAGGGAGGGAGAAATGATATATTGTCCTTGTAACTCATGTCATAACCATTTTATGGTCGATAGTGTTAAGGATATAAGACTTCATGTGTATCACAAGGGTTTTGAGTCGACTTATAAACAATGGATATGGCATGGGGAGACTGAAAATGTTGGTTCAACATTTAGTGGACGGGTGGATGACAAAAATGACAATATCGATGGTTTCCAGGCTGAAGGGAACAACGAATTTGAGGATAATTCTGGCATGGCCCATGACTTTGAAAATGTTATTGATGATGAAGAGCGTAACATGTATGAGACTTTAGTACATAACTCAAAAAAACCGTTGTATCCGGGTTGTACTAAGTACACATGTTTGAAAGCAATGCTAGAGTTGTTCAATTTAAAAGTGGCAAACGGTTGGAGTGATAAAGGATTCACATCTTTGTTAGGTTTGTTGGGGGAGCTCCTTCCAGACAGACATGAACTTCCTTCATCCACTTATGAGGCTAAGAAAATGATGTCACCAATG